TGTTTATTCGAGATGTTTCCTGCTTCTTAAGGTGGGCTTGTATTGCTATAAACTTCCCTCTTAGAACTGCTTTTGCTGCATCCCATAGGTTTTGGGTCGTTGTATCTCCATTGTCATTTGTTTCTAGGTATTTTTTAATTTCCTCTTTGATTTCTTCAGTGATCACTTCGTTACTAAGTAGTGTATTGTTTAGCCTCCATGTGTTTGTATTTTTTACTGCTCTTTTCCTATAATTGATATCTAATCTCATGGCGTTGTGGTCGGAAAAGATACTTGATATAATTTCAATTTTCTTAAATTTACCAAGGCTTGATTTGTGACCCAAGATATGATCTATCCTGGAGAATGTTCCATGAGCACTTGAGAAAAATGTGTATTCTGTTGTTTTTGGATGGAGTGTCCTATAAATATCAATTAAGTCCATCCTGTTTAATGTATCATTTAAAGCTTGTGTTTCCTTATTTATTTTCATTTTGGATGATCTGTCCATTGGTGAAAGTGGGGTGTTGAAGTCCCCTACTATGAATGTGTTACTGTCGATTTCCCCTTTTATGGCTGCTAGTTTTTGCCTTATGTATTGAGGTGCTCCTATGTTGGGTGCATAAATATTTACAATTGTTATATCTTCTTCTTGGATCGATCCCTTAATCATTATGTAGTGTCCTTCTTTGTCTCTTCTGATAGTCCTTATTTTAAAGTCTATTTTGTCTGATATGAGAATTGCTACTCCAGCTTTCTTTTGGTTTCCATTTGCATGGAATATCTTTTTCCATCCCCTTACTTTCAGTCTGTATGTGTCTCTAGGTCTGAAGTGGGTCTCTTGTAGACAGCATATATATGGGTCTTGTTTTTGTATCCATTCAGCCAATCTGTGTCTTTTGGTGGGAGCATTTAGTCCATTTACATTTAAGGTAATTATCGATATGTATGTTCCTATTCCCATTTTCTAAATTGTTTTGGGTTCGTTATTATAGGACTTTTCCTTCTCTTGTGTTTTTGTCTAGAGAAGTTCCTTTAGCATTTGTTGTAAAGCTGGTTTGGTGGTGCTGAACTCTCTCAGCTTTTGCTTGTCTGTAAAGGTTTTAATTTCTCCATCAAATCTGAATGAGATCCTTGCTGGGTAGAGTAATCTTGGTTGCAGGTTTTTCTCCTTCATCACTTTCAGTATGTCCTGCCACTCCCTTCTGGCTTGTAGAGTTTCTGCTGAGAGATCAGCTGTTAACCTTATGGGGATTCCCTTGTGTGTTATTTGTTGTTTTTCCCTTGCTGCTTTTAATATGCTTTCTTTGTATTTAGTTTTTGACAGTTTGATTAATATGTGTCTTGGCGTATTTCTCCTTGAATTTATCCTGTATGGGACTCTCTGTGCTTCCTGGACTTGATTAACGATTTCCTTTCCCATATTAGGGAAGTTTTCAACTATAATCTCTTCAAATATTTTCTCAGTCCCTTTCTTTTTCTCTTCTTCTTCTGGAACCCCTATAATTCGAATGTTGGTGCGTTTAATGTTGTCCCAGAGGTCTCTGAGACTGTCCTCAGTTCTTTTCATTCTTTTTTCTTTATTCTGCTCTGCAGTAGTTATTTCCACTATTTTATCTTCCAGGTCACTTATCCGTTCTTCTGCCTCATTTATTCTGCTATTGATCCCATCTAGAGTATTTTTCATTTCATTTATTGTGTTGTTCATCATTGTCTGTTTCATCTTTATTTCTTCTAGGTCCTTGTTAACTGCTTCTTGCATTTTGTCCATTCTATTTCCAAGATTTTGGATCATCTTTACTATCATTATTCTGAACTCTTTTTCAGGTAGACTGCCTATTTCCTCTTCATTTGTTAGGTCTGGTGGGTTTTTATCCTGCTCCTTCATCTGCTGTGTGTTTTTCTGTCTTCTCATTTTGCTTATCTTACTGTGATTGGGTTCACCTTTTTGCAGGCTGCAAGTTCGTAGCTCCCGTTGTTTTTGATGTCTGTCTCCAGTGGCTAAGGTTGGTTCAGTGCGTTGTGTAGGCTTCCTGGTGGAGGGGACTAGTGGCTGTGTTGTGGTGTATGAGGCTAGATCTTGTCTCTCTAGTGGGCAGGTCCACGTCTGGTGGTGTGTTTTGGGGTGTCTGTGGACTTATTATGATTTTAGGCAGCCTCTCTGCTAGTGGGTGGGGTTGTGTTCCTGTTTTGCTATATGGTTGGCATAGGTTGTCCAGCACTGTAGCTTGCTGGTCGTTGAGCGAAGCTGGGTGCTGGTGTTGAGATGGAGATCTCTGGGAGATTTTCGCCGTTTGATATTATGTGGGGCTGGGAGGTCTCTTCTGGGGACTAGTGCCTGTGTTGTGGTGTATGAATGAGCCTAGATCTTGTCTCTCTAGTGGGCAGGTCCACGTCTGGTGGTGTGTTTTGGGGTGTCTGTGGACTTATTATGATTTTAGGCAGCCTCTCTGCTAGTGGGTGGGGTTGTGTTCCTGTTTTGCTATATGGTTGGCATAGGTTGTCCAGCACTGTAGCTTGCTGGTCGTTGAGCGAAGCTGGGTGCTGGTGTTGAGATGGAGATCTCTGGGAGATTTTCGCCGTTTGATATTATGTGGGGCTGGGAGGTCTCTTCTTGACGAGTGTTCTGAAGTTGGCTCTCCCACCTCAGAGGCAGAGTCCTGACTCCTGGCTGGAGCAGCAAGAGCCTTTCATCCACTCGGCTCAGAATAAAAGGGAGAGAAAGTAGAGAGAATTAGTATAAGTAGGAGGAAATAGGAAAGAAAGAAAGAAAGAAAGAAAGAGAGGAGGGAAGGAAGGAAGGAGGGAAGGAAGAAAGAAAGAAAGAAGAAAAGAAAGGAAGAAGGCAAGAAGGAAAGAAAGGAGGGAGGGAGGGAGGAGGGAAGGAAGGAAGGAATGAGGGAAGGAAGGAAAAAATACAGAAAGAAAGAAGATACAGTAAAATAAAATAAAGTATAATAAAGTTATTGAATTAAAAAAATAATTATTTAGAGGAAAAAAAAAAGGGAAGGATAGAACCTTAGGACAAATGGTGGAAGCAAAGTTATAGAGACAAAATCTTACATAGAAGCATACACATATACCCTCACAAAAAGAGGTAAAGTGGAAAAAATCATAAAACTTGCTCTCCAAGTCCACCTCCTCAATTTGGGACGATTCGTTGTCTCAAAAAGGGAAGGAAGGAAGGAAAGATAGAAAGAAGGTAAAGTATAATAGAGTTCTTTAAATTAAAATTAATTATTAAGAAAAAAATTTTAAAAAAAAATGGTCGGATAGAACGCTGGGACAAATGGTGGAAGCAAACCTATACAGACAAGATCTCACACAGAAGCATACACATACACATTCACAAAAAGAGGAAAAGGGGAAAAAATCATAGATCTTGCTCTAGAAGTCCGCCTCCTCAATTTGGGATGATTCGCTGTCTATTCATGTATTCCACAGAGGCAGGGTACATCAAATTGATTGTGTAGCTTTAATCCGCTGTTTCTGAGGCTGCTGGGAGAGATTTCCCTTTTTCTTCTTTGTTCTCACAGCTCACAGGGGCTCAGCTTTCGACTTGGCCCTGCCTCTGCGTGTAGGTCGCTGGAGGGCGTCTGTTTTTTGCTCAGACAGGACGGGGTTAAAGGAGCCGCTGACTCGGGGGCTCTGGCGCTCTCAGGCCGGGGGCAGGGAGGGGCACGGAGTGCGGGGCGGGCCTGCGGCGGCAGAAGTCGGCGTGACGTTGCAGCAGCCTGAGGCCCGCCGTGTGTTCTCCCTGAGAAATTGTCCCTGGGTCCCGGGAACCTGGCAGTGGCGGGCTGCACAGGCTCCCCGGAAGAGGGGTGGGGGCAGTGACCTGTGCTCGCACACAGGCCCCTTGGTGGCGGCAGCAGCAGCCTTAGCGTCTCCCGCCCGTCTCTGGTTTCCGAGCTTTTAGCCGCAGCTCGCGCCCGTCTCTGGAGCTCCTTTAGGCAGCGCTCTTAAAACCCCTCTCCTCGCGCACCAGGAAACACAGAGGCAAGAAAAGGTCTCTTGCCTCTTGGGTAGGTCCAGCTGCAGTGGCTTCTCTTGTTGCAGAGCACGGGCTCTAGGCCCGTAGGCTTCGGTAGTTGCAGCACGTGGGCTCAGTAGTTGCAGCACAGGGGCCCTAGAGTTCGCGGGCTTCAGTGGTTATGGCACGTGTGCTCAGTAGCTGTGGCTCGTGGGCTCTAGAGTGCAGGCTCAGTAGTTGTGGTGCATGGGCTTAGTTGCTCTGCGGCATGTGGGATCTTCCCAGACCAGGGCTTGAACCCGTGTCCCCTGCATTGACAGGCGTATTCTTAACCACTGCACCAACAGGGAAGCCTGGCTTCTATTTTCTTAAGGAAGTAGGAGGTAAAGTCTTCTGAGATTTTGGCAGTAACTGGTAATAGGCACTTAGCATCATTCTTAGCTTCCATGAGTTCGGCTCAGTTATCACATTTCTCCTTCTCCCTCCTTTGAGTACAATTTCTGTAGCTCTAAATCCTTCATTGCTCTTTTGATTCGCACCGTGGGGTGACCCTTAATTTTGTATCTTCATGTAATATTCCAGCCTCCAAGAAGAGCATCTCCTTTATCTCTAGGCTGAAGTTACTCTTTAACTCCTCTCTCTTTGGCAAGACTGGACCAAACCTTCATGGTCTTTGAGGAGGGAACCATTTTCCTTAAAATGACTTGCACGGTTTTGTATTACTCAAGAGTAATCGAGTGGGTGTATTTTTCAACATCTTTATAGTAGATTTTAGTGTTTGACATGATGATTAATATAATGTTGTAGATTTTGAATTGTGATGACCTAAAGCAGGGTATTCATAGTGAGTGAATAATTTTGCTCTTTAGGCAGATTCTCCTGTTTGAATTTTTAGCAGAGATTTTTAAAGATCCATATTTTATATATATATATATATATATATATATATATATATATATAAATTACATAACTCTCTAAGTATATATGCTATAACATCTGTTTATTTGTGGTATACCTTTCTTCTAATGAGTATGATTTTGTTTTCAAGGCTGTTTGGTAGGCGGTATACCAGGTTCCAGGAAGTGGTTCTTTGCAGTGCAGGCAATATGTGGATTTTATCAGGTAATATAAATAACAAAATAGTCACTAGTGAATGTCTTTGTTAATATAAATAATTCCATGACCCCATTATTTAATGCAATCTTTTGGTATATTAGTTTTGTAGTTCTGACTGGGAAGAGATACATTTTGGTGTGGAAAAAGATGAAATTGAAGATGTTCTTCAAAGAAATATCGAAGAATGTTTGAGTGCTGTTGAGTGTTTTGAGGAAGAAGATAGTAATAGCAGGGAATCATTATCCTTGGCTGAGTATGCTTATGTACTTTTTATCATGTCTTTAAAATATTTGACATTATATAGTATTTTAGCCGTGAGAGTGAAGATTTGATATGTTAGCAGCTATAGTGAGGGAGTTTTACATAATTCAAATTTTTAACTCTTTGTTTTGGAAGACAGGCAATTTGGGCCTTTTATTTGAATAAAATTCTTTAAAATGCACAAACTGGTACCTGAAAATGTTTAGCTTCTTAAGCTTGCATAATTGCAGGAATCATAAAAAGTGATATGTCACTTTCTTGAAGCAAACTTCTGTCTGGTGTTATATTTCAAGAACTTGAATAGAAACTTTATTTAAGGTTAATAACTGGCATTCAAACCACAGTATCATTTTCATTTTGCTGTTTGAGACTGAAATATATGATTTCTTCAATTTATATGTATCTTCAGCATTTCAGGCATCTTTAAAATCCATAGTTTCTGAGGTGTATGTAGATGATTGAATTCACTTTTAGGTTTTTTGAATTGTGGTACAGTATATAAGATGATCCAGGTGATGTGTTTTGATAATTTTTTTTTCCTCATGAAATGTACCATCTCTGAACCATAATTCATTCTTGTCATTTCAGTCTTCTGTCATACTTCATTACAAAAACTCCTTTGTTTATTTTAATATTCAAATATTATACTTCTATAAATTGCTGCAGATTTTCAAACTGTGTTTTCCTGTTTTCAAATCATATTTGTTTATACTGATTAATGAGGGGAGACATTGTAGAGCCATAGAAAGGACATTGTAACAGAGGTGGTCTCTAATTATATAATATAGAAGTGGTCTCTGATTATATAATCTTGGGCCAGTCACTTAACTTCTCTGGTGCTTTATTTTCTCATCTGTAAAGTGCTGAGATCCTTTTAGATGATTTCTAAGATGCCTTCTAGCCTTAGGGCTCTTACCATTCCATACGTTTTCTCACCACTATTAGAAGATGGCAAGTATAAAAGTGATTATTTCTAGTAAGTGACCTAATAATTATTTCCACAAGAGGGAGCTTGAAAACTATACTTTACCGTAGGCGCCTTAAGTTTTTTAGACAATGGTGAGTTTATAATAAAAGATTTAAATACCTTTATGTTATATAATAAACTATCTTGAGTTCATCATATGGGTAAAATGAATAGATTTTAAAGAATTGGAGGAGAATATCATATTTTCCTGTCAGGGCTGTTACGTGCCATTCAGAGAAAAGCCGTAGCCTTCTCTATTAAATACTTAGTAATACCTTACTTTTAAGGTTCAGAAAAATGGTCTATTAGTTATGATTTATATTTAATATACTAGATATAATTTAGGGAGGGCTTTTTTCCCCTTTTCTGTTAATGTTGTTTGTTTGTTTTGGGGGTGTGGCTAAGAACTTGGACTCAGGGTTTGAATCCTAGCTTCCACACCTACAGCTTATGTGGACTTTAGGTGAATTATTTAAAGTGAGGATAAAAATAGTATTATAGTAGTGCCTCATGGGATTGTCATGAGGATCAAATGAGATAATGCTGAATGCTAAGTATTTAATAGTGTCTGGCACATAGATCCATTTAACTAATATTACCTATTATGATTATATGTAATGTGTGTATATATATATTTTTCCTAACCTACTGTTTTATTTTAGCCTGTATGAAGAATCTGCAGAAAATTTGCATCAGTTATCAGACAAACTTCCTGCTCCTGGTAATATTTTATGACTACTTTCAATAATTTGTACCTTATCTTACACTTTCTGTGAATGAGTGATAAATTCATTCTTTATGCTCGTGTTCTCACTTCTAACTTTGAAATGAAAAATGAAAAATAATTTTCTATATGAAGTTGTTAAAAAACATACTCTACTACTTTAATAAAGTACCTTGTTGAGACATCACAATTTTCTTAATTGTTTTCATTTGCTTAGACAAAAATTAGAACTTAAGAAATTGCTCATCTGTTTCCTTCTTCAGTTACTACTGAAGAAGCAGCTTTGCACTGTATATACCATTGTTTTCCACAATGTTCTATAGAACTCTACTCCCATGAGCAACTCCTAGAAAAAGAAGTTCTTTAACCTAGATCATTTGGATAACATACTTTTATGGTGTGAAGTCACTATACATATTATCAAATAGAAAGTCATGCAGTAAAAGAAGCCCTTGACTCAGCATTTTTTTTACACAATCCATTTTTTTTCCTATAATAGAAAGCATATTTTATGAAATACTGCATCATACTATTCTTAAAACTGTATATTGTCTTAAATTAATCTTTCTTTGTGTGAATCAAGTAGCTGATTCATCTAAAGCTTGGTACGCTTTGGCATCCACGAATACTTTTGAATACTTTTCTGAATATTTTCATTATTTGATGTCATTTATTAGGCAGATAGTTGTTGTGTCTGTTATATGTCAGGCGTTGTACCGGGAGCTGAGTATACAGTGATGAGTAAAGCATATGTGATTATCATAAAGGACTTTATAGCTCACAGTCTAATCCTTATATTCAAGATTATATTTTAGTATAAAAGATCCTATATGGAAGATAACTGAATACATTGATAAATAAACATGTCAGATTTTTATATGAAGTTCAAAATTTGGAATGTACAGTTGCTATTTTGGCAAATTGGAATACTTTCATTATCAAACTTTTATTTGGTTTCTGTTTCATTTTGACTTTTCTGGTCCTTCAGTAAAATTTATCATTTTATAAAATTTAAAGTTTCATGAAATTAACCTTCTTTCTCAGGAACCAATGATGTTGTCAGTATAATTGAGTTTCCTGAGTGTTTTATTGTTCTTTAAAAAGAGAAATAATTTATTTGAACATTACAGTTTTACACTAATTCATTCCCTTTTGTATAACAAAATTAAGTATAGAAGAACATAATGAACTGTACAGGTTTTTTTCCCCTCTGTTCAGTACAACAATAGCATTGATGATCTCAAGAGCAATGTATAATTAACCACTGGCACATAATTGGCGAGTAATTATGATATAGTTCATTGTTTTTCTGGCATATGCTAGCTATTTCAAGGTAACATGGCTTTAAATCAAATGTGAACATTTAAAAATTTTGAACTCCTGAAGATGTATATTGTTTTGAGGAATTTCAGAAATTAAAGTTAAAATCCTTCTTCATCTTCTAAATAAACATAAAATTCAGTTGTTCGAGGTACTGTTTTGAGACATTTCAGATCTAACATCTTTTTTTTTAATTAATTAATTTATTTTTTGAACTTATTTATTTTATGTATGTATTTTTTTGGCTGCCCTGGGTCTTCATTGCTGTGCACGGGCTTTCTCTAGTTGCGGCTAGCGGGGGCTACTCTTGGTTGTGGTGTGCGGACTTCTCACTGCGGTGGCCTCTCTCGTTGCGGAGCACGGGCTCTAGGCGCGTGGGCTTCAGTAGTTGTGGCTCACAGGCTCTAGAATGCAGGCTCAGTAGTTGTGGCATACGGGCCTAGCTGCTCCATGGCATGTGGGATCTTCCCAGACCTGGGCTCGAACCCGCGTCCCCTGCATCGGCAGGCGGACTCCCAACCACCGCGCCACCAGGGAAGCCCCCAGATCTAACATCTTTAAAAAATTATAGTTAATCAACTATGCTCCAATATAAAATAAAAATGTTTTTTAAAAATTACAAAAATGCCTTTATCTCTTTTTCTAGGTAGAGCAATGATAGATATAATACTGTTGCCTTCTGACAAAGATCCGCCTAAATTGAGAGACTGTTTGCCTACTGTAGGAGCATTAAAACATTTGAAGGAATGGTATTCAGCAAAAATTACCATAGCAGGAAATCATTGTGAAACGTAAGCTTCTTTGTTCATATTTGACTACTATCTGTGTTGTCCGCTTTTTACAATTAACTTGCTACCCTGTTTTTAATAGACCCAGCCTTTGAAGATTTTTTAAAATGTGACAAGATAGTTTTATGTCATACTGTGATTAGAGATTTATCTGTTGAGAAGAACCTACATTTTTCTTATTTCATACTTCATATTTGTGAGAAGTTTTAAGTTTTTAGTAACTGTTATTGATGCTTTCTTACAACTATTATTGAGCATTAATTCTCCAAACACATTGTGTGTTTTTAAATAGGTTTGTATTGTCCAGTGAACACCGTGATAAATACCATGGATACATGGATACACCAGATTTATAATGTCATATTTTTTATTTTATGTGCAATGTAGAAATAAATATATACTGTTGTGTTTTATGACATTTTAGTAAGGATCAACTGTGTATTACAGTTTTGATCCTTAAACGAGTATTGGATTTGTTAACTTCATGATTTTCTTCACTCAGCAATTGTTTATTGAGCACTCTCTTTATGCCAAGCACAGCAGTATATACTGATAATAAGAAAGTGAGATTTGATCTTTTTCATTGAAATACAGGGAGGAACAGAAATGCAAATAGTCATGATAATCTGTGATAAGTGCTATTATGAAATTCCATACAGAACAGTGTTGGAACAATTTAGGAGAGCAGTTCCCCTTTTGAAGATAAGAATTCATTCAATCTGTGTATATGTGTGTACATATGTGTATATCTGACGTTAAAACTAATAAATAATAATAGGAAAATCTGTTCATCTGTAGTATTAAGGGTAATTACTCATAATTCAAGGGGATGTTGAGATTAAATGAACACATGATAGCAGCTTCTTCAGAGACTGACTTAATGTTCTATAATATTAGTAGATAAAAGCAGCAATATAAACTTTGCATTTTTGCCTGTTGGGCTCGTAGCTAACTAAAACCATTAAATCTAAGTCAAATTTAAAACCCTATATTTAATTATCATAAACTTTTATTTACAGAAGTTGTCAGAAAATTGCCGAATACCTTTCTGCTAATATTGTATCTTTACAAGATCTCAGAAATGCTATTGATTCAAAGGAGTTATGGAGGGGAAAGATTCAGATATGGGAAAGGAAGGTAAGTGGATTTCTGTTATCACAGTTTGCAAAGCAGGCCTTTCGACCTTATTTACAACACAGATAGTTTAAATGAATCCTAATGAAAAGGTACCATATAAAGATGTTCTAGAAAAGCACTATCTAAATAGAACTTTCTTCATTAATGTAAATGTTCCGAATTTATGCTCATACAATAGTCCACTGGCTTCATGTTGCTACCAGCACTTTATACTTGACTACTTCAAACACAGAAATGAATCTTTTACTATATTTTACTTTAATTAATTTAAATTTAAATAGTGACTGTGATTGTTTTGGGCACTGCAGTTCTAGAGTGTAACATTCTTTTAAAGCAGAATTTAACATTAGTTGGGTTCATGTTTATCCAAGCTGCTTTAGTTCATTGCATATGTAAATTCCTGGAAAACTGCTTAGAACATGTTTTCTTATCTATGATACCACCTTAAGTGGTCAGTGCTTTCTGCTAACCAGCTGATTTTGAACAATTTTTTTTTAACCTTACTAGACCCCAGATTTCTCAACTATAAGATGAGAATATTAGATTAGTGGAACCCCGCTAATGTTAAATTTCTATGAGGCTCCAATTCTATTTTGCGTTCCCTTACTGTGAATGAATATGTTTGGTGGTTTTTATAAGCTGTGTCCATGTTGAAATCAATGTTCCTGGTATTTTATGTGTTTCTGTCTATAGGCAAAACTAAAAGAAAGTTTCTTAATGTTTGTTTAGTATGGGAGCACGAGTAGATCGTTGTGTTCCTATAAAGATTTATTGTACTAATTACTAGACTTTTTTCTCCTTTTCAATTCACTCTTAATTATAGTTTAATAAAACTTCTAATAAGACAACAGGAATTCCCGTGGCTGGGCCCTTCTTGTTGATTTGTACGCCAGCTCTTCTTTATCTCGGGGAAGTTAAATCTGCAGATAAATCTTCTTTGCAAGTGGTTTTAGTGTAAACAAGTCATATAGCCTACTAGAAGAATGCAGCATACAATTAGCTAGGAGAATTACTTTTGTATACATTTTTTGAAATTGCATGTCTACATACAGACAGATAATGGCAGGGTTCTGTGATTCTTTTATTCTTTTATGGATAAGAAATTAAATGTCCATATCTCCCCAGGCTGCATTTAAAACTTGAAATCACTTTTTGGTGGAGAATAGCTTTTAGCCTAGGGGCATTATAGTGATTAAGGACATAGATTCTAGAGTTAAGATTGCCTGCATTCAAATCCTAATTCTGTTCCTTGCTAGTTTTGTGTGAAGTGTTAGATAATATTTAGCCTCTTGGTGCCACAGTTATCTTTATCTGTAAGATGGGTGTAATAGTAGTTCCTAACTCAGATTTTTATGAGGTTTAAATTATTGAAAGCACAAAGTAACCATGCAGTAAGTGGTACCTCTCACTGTCATTACCGTTACTGTTAGTACCCCTGTTATTACTACTTCTGCAGGAATTGATCTTTTTATCAACAACTTATATTGAAAGCAAACTATGTGTGAGGCACTAAGGATCTAGTGGTGAATGAGACAAGCAAGTTCTATTTTTTGCAGAACTTAAGACAGTAGGAAGCAGGTACTGAACAACTATATGTAAAGGGGGTTGCTTTGTTCTCTGGTTGCAGAGAATGGGCTTAGTATCCTCTTGTGGGCTAGTGAAAGGCCAAGGAGAGCTTTTCATGAAAAATTCATGTGAAAGTTGAAATATGAATGATATGTACATAAATGGAAGAACTGCATTTTGAACTGAGGATCAAAAATAAATTTGCATATGGTTTTCCTCTCAACTTTTACATTGCAATAAGATGTATTAATCTTTGTAACTTAATTCATGATGCCTGTCACTGTGTTCTCTTCGTTTCTTTTCAGTTTGGATGTGAAATTAGTTTTCCTGAATTTTGTTTAAAGGGAGTCACACCTAAGACTTTTAGTACATCTAATTTAAAAACTTGCTTTCTTGACAAAAAGATAATACCATCAAAGGATAAGAGTATTTTGCCAAAGGTAATCTATGTTTAATTGTTTTTGCAATCATCTATTCATGAATATTTTATAAGATATGTTTGAATCTTCAATTAACATTACTAATATATGTGCTTAAGTGTGCTCACTTGCATAACTTTTACTATAGTTATAATTAAGTACTTAAATTATACTGTATTATCAGTATTGAATGTTGGCAAAACTATCATTGTTTTAAATTGTTTTCAAAACAGAACGATCCTAACTTTAGATCAGTATAGGCCTGAAACCACTTTTTTTTTTTTTTTTTTTTTTTGCGGTACACGGGCCTCTCACTGTTGTGGCCTCTCTTGTTGCAGAGCACAGGCTCCGGTCGCGCAGGCTCAGCGGCCATGGCTCACGGGCCCAGCCGCTCCACGGCATGTGGGATCTTTCCGGACCGGGTCATGAACCCGTGTCCCCTGCATTGGCAGGCGGACTCTCAACCATTGCGCCACCAGGGAAGCCCCTGAAACCACTTTTGACTTGAACTTTACCATGTGACCTTTCTAAGACTCAGCTTGAAGGGAGTACGATACAGTGGAAAGAGAACAGGCTTTGATGTTAGGTAGACCCGGGTTTGAAACCTGACTTTGTCACCTATGAGGTATTGTCGCCTTGGGTAGATCGATTAATTCATTTATGAAATGGAGATAGTAATAAACACTTACCTTACAAAGTTATGAGGGTTAAATGAAGTAAGAGATTAGCATCTGATATAGTACCTGACATTTGCTTCATTTACAGTTTAAGAGGTATTGATTCTTGTCCCATGTCTCCATAGATTTATTCTTAAAATGCAAGTAATTATAAAGTATAATAATTAAAAGGGCTTTGGTTGGCTTTTTTTTTTCACATTGGACAAATAATATAAGAAGTATTTATATAGAAGCACTTTAGAAATTCACTTTGAAGGATGCATTTCAAGAATGTGCAAAACATAGTGGTCATGAAGTTACAAGGATGTCAGACTGATGGGTAATATTTTCTGATCAAAGGGTGGCACAAAAGACATATTTCTGATGTTGACACATTTCCTAATAGTTCAGAATTACTTAAAGTAACTTACCATGACCATCTTTCACAGGAATATTAAATTCTTTTCTAAAGATTATAATCATAAGATTGATGACCTCAACTTTTCTGCTTTGGTAGTACACCATTCAAGTATGAATAATGTGTCTGATTTTTGCTGCTATTGAGAGAAATTTAGGGTTCAACGTCTTAAATAAATGTAAGCCTCTCTATGCATAAACAAATACATGCATACATACATACATATTTATAAATACACACTAAGTGTGTTGTGTATGTATGTGTACATACACATACATACACATATCATATATGATGAAATTACTCAGCTTTCTGCAAGTTTAAAACTTTGTGTGTTTGAAGGTGTGTTCGCTTGTCTTTGCCCTTGTGAAGCACTCTAGCCCCAGCTCTTGAATTACCTTCTTCACTAGCTCACTCTTAGTTTGGTTTTAGACTCTATCCAAAGAAATACTGAATTTTATTTCTCTGAGTGGAGCTTCCTTTGTTAATTAGTATTCTTGTTTTACTAGTTCTCTCTTTAATTACTTTAGTGTTTCCTCCAAGGGCTTTGTTTTGTTTTTTGTTTTTTTTTTATCTCAGCATACCAAAGTTCATCCTGGAGTGTCTTTTCTTTCTCTTTCTCAGTTTCCGCAGGCCCTCTTCAACATCCTAGCCTCCTGGCTTATCTGTCTGTCTTCCTAGAGATAAACAGGAAAAGTTAAGAACTTTTGTCCTCTGTTGCTTGCCTCTTTCTATACTCATTTTCCTCCTGTTAAAACTCTTTCCAGTTAGTAAGAAGTCTCCATATCTCTCCACTCAGAAATGTAGAATTGATATGGAAGAAATTCTTACCTTTGATAGAGAATTAAGTGTTTGCCTTGCATAATATGTAAATACGTGCTTTTTAAGACCCATTTTAAAGATTTTAAACCCTGATCACTAATTTGTTTACTTTCATTTTATTTATAGTATTTAAAGTCTTACATAATTTTAATTTCTTTTTTAGGTTTTTCATTATTATGGCCCTGCTTTAAAATTTGTGCAGATGATAAAATTATCAGACCTACCTTCCTGCTATATGTCAGACATTGAATTTGAGTTGTATCCTTTTCATTTACATGTTCATTATGGATCACAATTTTTCTGTGTCAAGTAAGACTGTTTCCTGGTACCACCATATTTAAATATTTGCCCATACTTTTGTTGTTGTTTTTCTTTTTTATAATATCAGTATACTTTTCATTGCCATTGCTTTAAGAGAAATTCTACAACTTGCAAAAAAAGAATACTCCTTCAGGCACGATATTTATGCCTCTAGAATAGGCAGAAGACTTCCTGAAATTATTACTCATTGCTTATGGGGTAGGTAAGAGGGAGAAATGTTAGGGATCTGTGAAGAAAAACAAAATAATTTGTATACTATTGGAATGTTCAGATGTTTCTCTTGCCATTGGCAGGATAGATACAAGTGCCAGTCCACTGTATCTTTTTAAATACTTAAGTAAATAAGAATGCTATCACATATGTCTGTAAATATTCAACATATTTTAGACTCTTTTTAAAGAAAATATATCTAAGAAGTTTTAGGAACAGACCTAAGAACAATATTTTATATAAAAAGAATTTGTTGTTGGCCAGAAATGAAACCCTAGTACAGTGTTTTTGAATTTTTATTCAGAAGCTCCAGTTTGTACAAATCTCTGGTTCTAATAGTTTAGAGTAATGCTATTTATAGTATCACTATTTCTTGATGTATTTTCAGAATCAGAAAAATAATTGTCCTTGGAAAGGAGTAATTGTGAGTTCCCACAGTTAAAATTTTTGATCAGTGAATTTAAGCACCTTGTGAATTGGAGAATCAAACTTATTTTAGGGAGTTGAATTATTTGACAGTTACCATTTCATCATTTCTTTAACTCCTTAGTGCAGAGGACTGACAAAAAACAATACCAAACAGAATTCCAAGTTGCTGTTGGAGCAGATTTCTTCCCTGTGTGGCAAGGTATAGAGGGTGTTTTTTTGTTTTTGTTTTTGTTGTGTTTTTAACTTAACATTTACAGATGTGTGAGAAAAGGGAATGTATTTTTTAAAATCTATTTCTGTGTGATGATTTGGTTTCTTTAACTTAACATAAGGTTTTGATCCTAATTCATGTTAATATACTTTGGACTTTTCATAATAACCCCAAAGTCTTCTGCAGACATGAAGTGATTTTTTATTTTTAGAAGAGATTTTCAAAAATAAGCTTCATGACTGATAATTGCTTTTAGAACACATTAGATTATTGTTAACCTACCCCTTTTACATCTGATTTCAGTTCTGTGGCAAGATATGTATATGCTTGCATTATCTTTTTCATGGTAGGATAGATAGGTGGAGGTGAGAAAAATGTCTAAAGCTTCACTAAATTATCATTTGTAAGTTTTCAGTTCTTCTTTTTTCATTTTGGTGATGTTTAGAAGATTTTCAGCTATTTCATTAGTTTATATATATATATATATATATATATATAAAACATATATAATGATATGGTAGAATTGGTATATTTAAAAAAATTTTTAACTACAACATAAAGAATTTTAAGTGGAATCATATAAAGTCAAGTACAGTTTTCAATAGGAAAAACTAAAATTTTATTTCTGGTTATTTGCTCAACTACCTTGTTTCTATGAAAACAATTTTTAATGCACAAAATGTTCATTGGCAATATTTAGATAACATTTTCTTATTATTTTAACAACAAGTACTCTATTATCAAATAGTCCTGCAGGGAGAAAAATGATTGTTATAATTATGGTTTCCCCATGGCACTATTAATCAAATCTTGGTTATAGTTCCCTTAGAAAATTGATGTAGTAAAGGAAATATGATTTTGGCCTTAAGATGCTTGGCTATATAATAACTTAAAATTTTGACTTCCAGCCTCATTTTTCCATGAAATTAATAGTTTTTAAACAGTGTATCAGAGTATTTATTTGATGAAATGGCCTTTAAAGGAACAGTCTGAAGATAATGTTAGCCTGTTTTTTCACCTCTGAAGAACCCAATGTGCTACATTTTGAAATGTAAAATTTCTTTTTTTGTTTATTCAACATTAGTTCTACTTTATGCATTGTATTAGATATTAGGGCTCCAATAATGGATTGTACAGATGAAGACTCTGCCCTCATGGAACTTACATTGTGGTAGGAAAAATAGAAAATAAGAGCTATGAAGAAAATAAGCAGGCTGAGATAGGGTAGTAGGGTGGAGGGTGTACTTTAAACAGGTTAATAAGATCGTACATCTCTATAGAAATTTGCACACAGAAGTCTTGTGAAGTGGTATAGTTTAAAAAAAAAACAGAAAAAGAAAAAGTACTAAGAATAAAAACAAACAAACAACTCTGTTCATATTTTAACCCAAGTAGCTAAATAGTTCACTATGTAACCCTATCCAGGAAATGAGAATGCCATTTATCATTAATCATCTCACCTATATTATCAAATAAGGGAGGGAGGGAATATGATATAGTAGAAAGTCTCAAGTAAAAGAACATGTACTTTAGAAAACTTTGATTTAAGTCCTAGCTCTGCCACTCACTAGTTTATAGCTTTTTAAATTGTGAACTGGAAATAATAATTCCTGTTTTGCCTATTTCAAAAAGTTGTAATGAAAACCAAATTGGAATATATTCTGTAAACTGTACAGTATGATATAAATGATGGTTGCTATCTAATTCTTGTCTTTGAAGTTTATGTGGCCCAAATGATAGACACACTTAAGTGAAACATTTTCCTGAAATTTATAAAGCACTAGAGATCCTCTAGATATTTTGAAGTTATGATGAAATTTTTAGAAATTAGTGTTATAGGTAATGTTTCAAGTCAAAATCAGACATATACCTATAATTTAACTCAGGTATAAAATAATTCTTAACCCATCTAGATATTGAAGATAGGCAACTCTAATCCTAGAAGAAAGCTAAACTCTTGATATCTATTAATATAGTATTTTCATTTGTTTTATTTTAAATTTGTTGTATTAGATTGTCATTTTTATTGCTTCTTGGACAATGACTGAAATATTGGACTACACTTTATCAGTCGGGGACAAATAAATGGAACTTTAAATATATGTTCCTACTTTAATCCAGCAAAGGGATAACTTTTAGAAACATACATTATGTAATTTGGCTAAAACTCTAAATGTGAAGCAGTTCACTGTCCTTTTACACTGTGTCATAGTTAGTCTTTTACATATTTGAAAAAAAAAATTGAATTCCATGGTCATTCCTTGAAATAATCCCAGTGCTTTATAACATGGTTTTCATTTATTTATTCAACTTTTCTTTTTTTTTTTTTTTTTTTTTTTGGACTGCCTGCCAGTTGCTTGTTGCAACTGGAGAGAATAAAGTGGACAAGGTCCCTCCTTGGGAAGCTGTCAAAGTGCTTAAATTCTAGTGCTGTATGTGATCCTAAGTCAACTTTTGAGCTTAAAAGAGATGTTTGGTGAGCCTCAGAATAAAAATAAAAGCCTTTTAGAGGAAAACTAATTTTATTAGATTAGAAAAGGCAAGATAGGGTTGTTAGGGAATCATGATGTCTATTAATCATATGGACGGACAGGGAGTATTTTTATTAAAGAGGAGAATTTATAAGGCTAAAAACATGATTGCCATAGTGCCTGCTTGTTTGGGGGTTTGCCTGCTGAAAAGATTGAATCAAAGTTTTGAAACCTGGGTTTGAAATGTTATTTGGCTGTTAAATTTTGGAATAGAATGTTAACATAAAAGGATCATCCTCAAGTCTCTCAAAGTATATCTAATGATTAGTGTATGAGTGAGAACAAGTTATCAGAATCCAAGTTTGTTGTGAATGTAGTGTAAACTATTGACATAAATTTATTTTGTAGGGAATTATAGCTTATGGGATTTAGAAAAGTTTATTTTCATATTTGTAGCAAATGTTTAATCAAAAATAGGCTGTCTCAGAAATGTGGTCACTTCCTTTGCTTATGGGTCAGGACACATTTATGTCAGGCTATAAATTATGCAATGAACTGCATTTAGTATCTTTACATTGTTAAGCTGTAACTATAATTGTAACAGTTTTATAATTGTTAAGCTATAATTGGGCCCTGATCTGGCATACTCACATTACAGCTTTGTCACCCTTTGGGCCAGACAGTTTTGTTATGCATTTTGGTCTAAGAAGTCTTACTTAAGCAAGAAGGAAGAACTAGGACTTAGTGTGTAGGAAATTAAATATATATCTTTTATAGTTAATGATTATTTTCCATTCCTAAATATTTTTATTTTTAATATCTAATGCTTGACTATGTAAAATACATTTGACTTAAAATAAAAAGGTTATGGCTATAATAATCAAGAAAAATAAGCATATTTAATTTTACCTTCCTTGTTTTACTCTCAATAGACTTACTTTCATATTCGTTAGTTAAGAATACATAAGTAAAAATAATAAATAGCAACTAAAAGTATTAATTAACTTTGTGTCACATATCTCATGTAACCCTTCTATCTACATAGGACTGTTAAAAGTGATTTTGCATTAGATTTGAGATTGATAGCAAATGCCTTGCCTAAATTTCCCCAAAAGTAAAAAAAACAAAAAAACAAAAAATGTATTTATTGGGATGTGCTGATTTTGTAGCCTACATTTCTAAAATAACAGGCAAAATACAGCTTTCAAGGTTGCAGTTTGTTTTATTCAGTGCTTAATCAAACTAAATATATTATGGTGGGTTTTGGGGGACAAATATTTAATAAACATCTGTGTGCCCAGCACTGGGAATACAAAGATAAATAAGGTGAGTTTGCTCATAAATCAGTTAGAAGCTGCTGTATGTTTTCTGGCATATGATTCATGGTTTCTCTAAATTTTATACGTATTAACATTAAATCTCTGATATCTAGCAACAAAAATTTTGAAATTGCCTTTAGATTCTAATTTTGAAGCCAGACCAATAATCCATCCAGTCAAAAGTTTATAAAATTGTGGCTTGGTATGACAAAATCTTTTGAGGATAGAATTCGTGACCTCTCATTGATTTGCAGATATACGAAGAAATTATACCCACAACCTAAACTTAAACATTGTGAATACGGTTTTCAGAGATATATGACTCAGTGGAAGTAAAACGGATACCTGTAACTGAATCCTTTCTCTGTTTTCTGGCTTTTTTTTTTTTTTTTTGGTGGAGGAAGGGCAGTATTCTTGTTTTTTTCTTTTTTTTGGTTTTTGTTTTTTTTTTTTTTTCCCGGTACGCGGGCCTCTCACTGTTGTGGCCTCTCCCATTGCGGAGCACAGGTTCCAGACGCGCAGGCTCAGCGGCCATGGCTCACGGGCCCAGCCGCTCCGCGGCACGTGGGATCCTCCCGGACCGGGGGACGAACCCGTGTGCCCTGCGTCGGCAGGCGGACTCCCAACCACTGCGCCACCAGGGAAGCCCCTTTTTCTAGTTTTTATAGTGGAATTCTTGGGAAAGAATGTGACTAAATACGTGTTATGTAGGTGAAATATGAGTGGAAAATTGTCAGATGATGCTATTTTAGAGTTGATTTCATTGTGCAGTCACTAAAAATATGTTCTGTTTTATCCAGGTTGGTGCTCTTTTTGTTTTGCCATGTACCATTAGTAGCATACTTATTCCTCCTCCCAGCCAGCTCAGTTCAAGAAAATGGAAGGAATATATAGCTAGAAAGCCTAAGACAATCAGTGGTAAGTAGTAAATTTTTAAGTTTTAATGGTGCAACATAAATAATGTATTTATCAACTTTGAAATGGAGATAACATTTCCTTATGAGAAAATATTACTACTGATTAAGCGGACCCGTATCATTTTAAGGTGTTTTTTCTATCTAACGACCTACTGCAACAGAAAGTATATACAACGTTATTCATTCATAAAATATCAGTGTTCTAAAGGCAGAAATTTTGGTTAATTAGATAGTTAATTATATTAAACATGGGTTTCTTAGAGACATTTCAGGAATAAAATTTATGGAAATAGATTAATTTATTATATGGTATATTAAAAAAACAAACTTGTGATTACAATTTTCTGTAGAATTTATTTAACAGCTTTTTATATGCTATGCAGTATTCTAAGTACTTTAGAAATCTTGATTCATTTAATTTTTATAATAACCTTATAAACTTAAAATAACCTTATAAACATTTAACAGATGAGGAAATTGGGACTTGGAGAAGTTACAGAGCTATTAACTGGCAGAAACAGGATGTGAACCAAGATTCTGCCAATTAATAGCTCTAACATCTCCAAGGATTTGAACCCAGGCACTCTGCTCTTAACCCCTGCACTGTGTTGCCTCTCTAATAATCTGTTACATTCAAGATGTCATTAATTTCTATTATAAAATCAGATTATTTAAATCCAGTCTCTAATACTTCATTAAGTAATTGCAGGTCAAAATGTTAGTTACTTGTCCAAAGTCACATAGCTAAAGTGTGTTCCTTCGTACTTTGTTTCAGTGTTTTCTGTTTTAATTGGATGATGATTTGTTTAGTTTAATTCTGAGCTTATACTTAGTTTTTGTGACCTGTGATACTACGGGACTAAGAACTGGAATTGAAACATATCTACCCAGATTGTAATCTCTAGAAGTACTCTAGAACCTTAGAATTCTGAGGAACACAGTTTTAAAATCAGCACTTTACACAGTACTTTATAGGAAATAGGTGAGATAATAAAATTCATTTTAGCAAGTGTTGAATTTGAAATGTAGGTAACATCTATGTGGAAATTTAAAGTTAGTGTTTGAAGTTTAGATGTATATCTCTAGAGAGTGGTCAGGGCAGGAGATTTAGATTTTTAGTTTACCAGCTCTTTTGTTTATCTGTTTTACAGCAAATCACCCTAAAACTAAGTGGCTTAAAGGAACAAACACTTTATTTGCTCATACTTCTGTGTTTGAGCTAGGTTCAGCTGGGCAGTTCTTCTGCCAGTCTACCAGTGGTCACTGATATGTGGCTGCGCTTGAACTTGTGGATTGTTTGGAGGATGGGCTCAGATGGGATGCAGGGACAGCTATCTTCCTCTCTCCATGTAGTCTCAATGCCTTTTCCTTGCCGCGTGCTTTTTTCTTGTAATCTCTGGAGCAGGTTAGCTGGAATTTTTTACGCTACTCAAGATTCCAAAATGAAGAAAAATTGAGGTGACAAGGACTTTTTAAGGCTTATTCCCAAAACTGGCCAAGTGTCACTTCTGCTGTATTCTTATTTAAAGCTACTCACAAGAATGGGCCAGATTCAAGAGGGAAGTGACTATACAAGGGTCTGAATACTGGGAAGCCCCCCATGTAAAAGTCCACCGCGGGTGTATAAAGGTGATAGTGGAAACAGGAGTGGTTGGGAAAAAACACATAGACAACATGGCTAAAGAAGAGAGCCAAGGATAGGACCTTTAGAAATACGTGAATTTAAGGTAAAGTGGAGGAAAAGTTAGAAAATGGTTTAGTAAATGGTAGCTGGGAGACCCTAAAGAGTTATAATCATTAACATCAATATCAAAATACCATCTATTGCATAATATAGGGTATTGGGCAAAGTGTGGGAAATAAAGGGAAGTCAAACTGGGTTCTTACACTTGAGGAATTAGAGGCATGGTCCTTTTCTTTGTAAAGTTTATAGTCAAGTGAAGAAGGCACTTTGAAAAATCATTATAAATCCCTTTAGCCATCAGGGTGAAAGTGAAGTGGAGGATACTTTCAGAGTGTATGACCTAACGTAGCCTTAAGAATTCAGGAAGGCTTCCTGGAGGAAGAGACATAGTTAATGTAGTTTATTGCACCGTACTAATTTGTGAAGAAATGTGGCTTTAACCCTTCTCAGCTCACAGGGAATAAGTGTATACCTGGTGATTTTGGCAGATGCTAAAACAAAATCAGAAGTAGACTTACTGGGTGGCAGTAGAGTCAGTTTCAGTATACCACATGAAATCACAGGATAATATCCATTTCTCAATATTACATAGGTTTATAACTTAATAACATGAAAAGTAACATCTCTTAACTAGACTTGAGTGTATTCTGGACAGCCCTTTATTTATTTTTCCTCTTGTAACTTTTTCTAAGATAATTTATTAATTTAGAATTTACTCTTAGTTTTTTTTTTTTCATGACTTTCATTGCAACTTTAAGAAAATACCTTATCATGAGGCTTGATTTGATATTTTTAAATTATTACCTCTTAAAATTTGGGGATTAGTATTAGTAACTTCTGAATAATAATTAGACATATATCACATGACCATCTTCGAAGCCAAGTTGTTGATTAGGCTATATCATTAAGGGCTGATTAAGCTGACACTTTACAATCTTTTTTTTTTTTTTTGATCTCAGAAGTAGAAACAATCAAATTGAACAGTTGATTATTAAGTTCTATTTTACCCATAACCCTTTCTGTAGGAGAAATTATTTATCCCATTGACAGAACTTCTTTTGTAAAGAGTAGCCAAGTTTTAGCTAGTGTAAGTTTTGATGCCTCTTACATAGGTAAACATCTTATCCCATTCATAGTGCCACTACTGATAAGGTATTAACTATCAGCCTCCTAAATAAGGTATTAACTATCAGCCTCCTAAATCAAAACTCTGTTTCCCCATAACCTACTGAATCATGCCCAACTGTTCTTTGCTGTCACCTTCCTTGTCCCCTATCTTCCAGACTAAACTTTGTACTGTTTCCTAAAACTATTCCCTGGTTTTACACCTTTATGATGTTGTTATTCATGCTTTCAGTCGGTCACGTTTCTATTCATGCTTTGTAATACTATGAATCAGGTATGGTACTGCAATCTGGGGGTTGCTGGTGAGCAAGACAGACTTGGCTCATCCTCTTCTAGAATTTATCCTGTAACATAGAAAAGAGGCACTGAGGAGGGGCTGAAAAAATCCCTAAGAGATATTACATAAATAAAACCAGGTGTGCAAACGTTATTATGCTACCGTTTGTGGTACAAATAACAGCTCAGATGTGTAAAGTAAGCATTTATATGTTTGTATATGCATGAAATACTCAGTTTTTCAACAGATATTTTTATTGAGCACCTACAGTATACTAGGCACTGTTTTACATGCTGGACCAGCAGTAAATTGAACAAAGAACTTGCTCTTGGGGAGCTTACATGGTAGTGGAGGTAACAGGTTTAGTTCTTGCCCCAGATAGGCATATATGGCTGGGTCTCTCAGTTTTGGAAAACCTTTACTCCAAAGTCATTTTCTCATTCAGGACCTAATTTTTGCCATCTCATGTAAAATTGCAAATGGACTCGTTTCCTGACATCATCTCCATCTTCCCAGCTCTATTTTTTCTCCTTAGTGCTTATTACCATCTAATATACTAAATGTGTGTCCGTTTTTCTCACCAGAAGTGAGAAGAGACAAAGTGAGTTTTTTTTACTTTTATTCATTGCTTTATTCTCAGTGCCTGGAACAAACAGTGCCTGACACTTAATAGGTACTCAAAAATATTTGTCAAATAATAAGTGAAATATATAGTGTATTTCCAGTTAGTAATAACCGCTGTCTGGAAAAGTAAAGAAAGACTTTGAATGCACTGCAGTGTGAACCAAAATTTGTGCTCCAGTTTTTGTCAGTTGCTTAGGTTTAATGTATCACCTTGATGAAATAAAGGGATGTATCGATATATTATACATAGGACATATGTGTTAGTTTGAACCATATGGTATTACTCTCTTTGTATATCAAAAATTGTTAAAATACCAGCAATTCATATGGTTTGACCTAAAATAGAAGAACAATGCCCAATTTGAAATATGCTTAAATTAAGAGTAGCAAAAGAATGATTTTTAAAAGTGTTTTGCAGTGAAATACCCAGAAACTATTATGGTACTGGGAAAAACGTAAAAGAACTATATGAACAAATGCAATTAACTAAGCCTTATTACATTTCTGAAGAAAGACTTCTATATTTAAAACTATATTGAAAAGCCAGTTGTATAATGAAAAGAGCCTGGCTCACCATATGTTCACAGAGATGTTTTATGAAATTGTCAAAAAATTGCATGTTGATTATTGCCTAATTTTATATAACAAATGAAAAAGCTAAGGTACAGAGAAATCAACAAATTTCTCTAAGGTCACGGTGAAATCAGAATTTCCACTCAAGTCTTTCTACTGGTCATCCATGATCATTTCATAATCCTGAGTTCTGTTGTTGCCTCATTTTTTTAAAAATTGGAATTCTTTTGAAAGGAAACATTTTAAAGGTACTCGGCAAAAAAAATTATTAGCAAGGACTAATGAAGCGTTTTGAATTGAGGAAGCAAGTGCCTTCTTCATACTCAAGTCAGTGTGATCGAAGTGTTTCAAAATAGTGAGCTGAAACTAAGGTTAAAATGACTCAGTGTAACTGATTTATAAATAATCTTGATCTTGAGAAAAGGTAAAGGACTTAGATAAAGATTTTGAAAGAGATTTCAGTGGCAGAGTCAAAGTATTCTTTCAGTCAGCAAATATTTATATTTATCGTGTCCCCGTTGTGTTCAGGGCATTATTCTAGGTGCTAGGAATTCAGTAGTGAAAACAATCAGCCAACTTTACTCTATTAACTTTTATTAAACACACCACTCAACAACATACTGGTTCTCTTCAAGCACATATGGAACATTCTTCAGGATAGACCATATATCTGTCAGGCTATTAAACGAGGCTCAATAAATTTAAAAGAATAGATATA